AGGTGTGACGTGCATTCTTTTTGGCTCATTAAAAATATATCTTGCTGCTGCGTTCTGGATTAATTGTAAAAGTTTGATAAAACTGGCTGAAAGACCTGCCAGGAGAGCATTGCAATAGTCCAGCCTGGACAGAGCAAGAGCTTGAACAAGGAGTTGTGAAGCATGTTCCGAAAGAAAGGGCCTGATCTTCTTGATGTTGAATAAAGCAAATCTGCAGGACCGGGCCGTTTTAGCAATGTGGTCTGAGAAAATCAGCTGATCATCAATCATAACTCCAAGGTTTCTGGCTGGTTTTGAAGGAGTTATGGTTGATGTGTCTAACTGGATGGTGAAACTGTGATGAAATGATGGGTTTGATGGAACCACAAGGCTAGGTTGAGTTGAAGGTGATGGTCCTTCATCCAGAAAGAAATGTCAGACAAGCTGAGATGCGAGCAGCTATCGTCGGATCATCAGGATGGATATATATATATATACAGTATACCCAGTTAACAAAATTGTTAATTTTTTTCTTTCTTTTCATTTTGTACTATTTTGTACACTAATGTTGGAATGTGCCAAAAGAAAAAAAGAGTTTTGCTCAGATATACACATCAATATCTGAAAGAAAAAAACCCCAGTAGTCAGATGTTAGGTTGATCTGTTTTAGTCTCTCTACTGATGATTCAGTCATAAGCTTTCACACAATCAGTTGACCATCTTCTTGAATCCTCTCACTGTTCTTTTCATTTGCTGTATATAAAACAGTCTTCTCTGATCTTCCTCTGACACATCAGGTCGACGCGTCTAAGACCAGCACTCTCGAGGCCGCTGCCAAACCTGAAGAACCTCCAGCGCCAAAAGCAGAGGAGAAGAAACTAGAGAAGAAATCCACTTTTGGAAACATGTTCAAACCCAAGGTAAAGACGGGATGCGTGGAGTGCAGGTGTGTGAGTGTATCAGATGTGTTAGTGCATGCAGTAACAGCTGTGTGTGAATTCGAGGTTCTGCTCGGCCAGGTGAGCAGCAGGATCCAGGCCGCGGCGTCCAGCGCTGCCGCCAGCATCTCCCTCATGTCTGCTGCAGCGGTAAACGCCGCTAGATCAGGCCCCTTCTGCATTAACCACACTGACTGATTTCACTGTTCCCAAACTCACAGCTGTTCTCTGACAATACAAGTTCAACTGAGTCAAAACACATCTACAGTATCACAGTTATTAATCAACTTAATATTTCAGCAGTGTAATATGGCCTTTGTTTTCTGAAAAACTCATTTCTATAAAAATCCTTTACCCTTATATTTCTTATATTCTTATATTTCAAATTTTCTTTTAAACTCCTTTTCTTCTTTTCTTTTCTTTCAAAATTTCAAAACTTCAGACTTTCAAACTCCCTTCCTTCCTTCATTCCTTCCGTTCTTCCTTTTCTTTCTTTCTTTCTTTCTTTCTTTCTTTCTTTCCTTTTTCCTTTCTCCTTTCTTCAGTTCATTTGAGAAGTGGGTTAATTTATTTGTTCACTTTTTACTTTATTTGATTACTTGTAATTTTTATGACTTCCTTAATATATTAATATATATATATTGTGTGTGTGTGTGTGTGTGTGTGTGTGTGTGTGCACTACCATTCAAAAGTTTGGGGACAAAATGTTATAGTGGTTTTAAAATAAGTCTCTTATGCTCACTAAGGCTGCATTTACTTGATCAACAGTACAGTAATATTATGAAATATGATTACAATTTAAAACAACTTTTAAACAACAAATCATTCTAATATCCTTATGTGGTGCTAAAATAACATCTTTAATTATTTTCAATGTTGAAAACAGTTTTACAACTTTTTTAGGATTCTTTGACAAATGTAAAGTTTAAAAGAACAATTATTTTAAGTGGATTTTTTTGTAACATAAATGTCAATGCTCTCTTTTGATCAATGTAATGCATTCTTGCTGAATAAAAGCATCAACTTACTGACTCCAAACTTTTGAACAAGAGTGTAGAAAATCTAAAATATAATGTGCACAAGAATAAAAAAATCATCTCATTAACCGCCGTTCGTTTCTCGCAACACAAGGCACCAGAGTCCAAGAAGGAGACTCCAGCTGCTCCTCCCGTGGCAGAAGCCGCTCCACCCGCGAAGGCCAAAGAGGAGCCGAGACCCACCGCTCCTGCACCGCAAGCGGCCCCAGACAACAAATCAGCCGATAGCACAGAGAATGCCTCCCCCAACATGCCCCACAAGCTGGAGAAGAGGAACTCCCTCCAGCTGTTCTTCAAGAACCTGGTTAAGTAGAAACCCAGAGATTCTCCAGGGCTAGGGATTCCACCCACACAACTGTGTGAGCATTCGCAATCTGTGTACTTTAACTCATCAGTTGTATGTAGTTTGCCAGTTAAATGCTGTCGAGAAGCGTTTTGTAATTCTGTAACCAACCTGATTATTTCGATATTGCTGGCTATTAATCTTAAAACAGTGATCTTTGAGGTGAGGAATTAAAATACAAAAATCAATATTTACAGTGTATATCCACTAGATGGCCTCAATTACCAACCTATCTAGATTATTCGATCAATTCCATAGCAACTTATTTGTGTTGCGTTTTAATAAAATGTAATCAATATTTTAAATTATTTAATTAAACTGGACACTAAAATTTAGCATGTAATTTTTTTTATTGCATGAAAACTAATAATATTGCATGAAATCTCAATCTCATCATCTAAACATGTAATTTTAATCTTTGTTGCGATTATATAACTTCTTCATAAATAAAAAATACTTTTTGTCATGTAATATAAATGTATCTATCCACAATTATGGTTATTTCGAGCGGGATCATCCCTGTCAATTATCTCGGACAAACATGTGATGACAACTAAATGATCTCAGATAATAAAGCACACAAATTCACCAAAGCTGCGCTTTAAAGACGTGTTGGAGCAAGATCCGCTTTTGTAAATAAAAGCCCAGTTGTCAGACGGGTTTTGCTTCAGGCACCCTTACAGACGAGCAGTAAAAAACACACACTTTCTTGCTAAGTTAGGATCACTAATGTTGCGTTATGCGTTGGTGTGTCTCACAGGGCCAAAAACGCCATTCTGATGCCGGAGTGCAAACGGACCCTGTGGCACCCGAGAAGGCCAAATAAAACCCCGCCTTTGTTTTGATCGCTCATCTGTGCCAAAACCGTTGGCAGTCATGCACATAAGAACATATTTACCAAAGTTGGGAGGTATTATGCTGACCTGCAAGGCCCAAATTTGAAGCAACTATCAAATAATAATCTGAATCCCCATGTGTTTAGTGAGAGCAGAAGTAAGTGTAACGATTTCCCTGTTAAGCAAGTGCTACATGTTGTTTATGACCGGAGGGAGGAACTTGTGTTGTTTTTCGCAGAGAAACGTGTCAGAGTTGCGTGGTGTGGCATGAGATGGAAAAGTGAAAGTGAAAATGTAATCCTGCATTGAAGATAAACTCCCTTTTTTATGTGCATGTTAAAATGTAAAATATGTTAACTATACTAACACTGCTCATATTGCATCGCAATTTCTATGCATTGTGCATTAAAGCCGTTGCATTAAGATGCCTTTTCACCGGGACAAAGCAAACATCATGCGCGTTTGCATGTGAAAAGAATTTATTTATGTAATCATACACTATCTGATTGTGAATTCAACGAACCGTCGTCTGCTTATTTCAATCACTGAAACGTACACAGCCAATTTGAATTCCACTTAAAGTGCAAAACTTCTGAATCACTTTAATAGATCCATAGAAATCACAAGTATTTATTTAACATAATGCCAATCAAATTGAGCACCATATATTATTATTCCAACTTATTCGGTTATTTAAGTTCAGCCCAGTTTTTATATTAAAAAAAAAACATTCATTTCTAAGATTGTTTATTAATCATAACTTACTAACTAAACCACATTACAATTATTGTCTTTTTATTTGCTTGGCCGTCCAGTTCTGACCGGGGAGACTAAAAAGAATAAATGCTTTATTTTCTTTATTTTCCGAACATATCAGTTGTTATTAGAACAGTATTGTTACGGGGCTGACAAGACGTGAGACATGCGGATCCATGTGCAAGCTTTATTAAAGCAGAGAGGTCAGAAACACAGGCAGGGTCGAACAATGGCGAACAGGTATATGGCGGGCAAGACACAAGAATAATCCTAGGGCTAGCGAAGGTCAACGAACGGCGAACAGAATCAAAAGGGCAAGACTAAAGGGATAAATCCAGGAAAACAGGCAAAGATCAGAAACCGAGAAAACAGACAAGGCAAGACTAGGCTAAGGCAGGGACCTCTCTGCTTTAATAAAGCTTGCACATGGATCCGCACGTCTCACGTCTTGTCAGCCCCGTAACAAGTATGAAGTAAATATGTGGTATACAATTATGCAATATACAATGTACATTCAACTCTGCTGCAGTCGCATGTGTTTTATGGTTTTCTTCCTAATTATCTCTACATTTGTAAAGAGTAGATGTGCCTAATTCAGAATTCAGACTATATCCATGAATCTTAGACTTTCTGTGTCTCCTTTGTTGCATTTTTGTCTATTTAACCAATTTATAAAAATAAAAGAATCATTTCTCTCCTCTGTAAAATGACTTGTTTTGTATTTACAACATGAAGACATAGATTTTAAAATATATAGTTTTACATTTTCCTGGGAAAAAAGTGTTTGCAGGTGTAGGTTTCCACATGGCTATATATATAATTTTTTTCTGGCCAAAATATATTTTAAATATACGTTGTAAAATTATGTAATTATGATTTAGTTTACAGCTAATTTCTTAATAGTTTGCTTTGTTAAGTCTGATATTTCCAAAGAGGGCGTGTGTCAGGACCGCCTACAGGGCAGCAAAAATTTGGAAAACAATTAACATGTGACAAAAGATGCATGGCATTCTAGGCACTTATTGTGAGTGCAGTGTGCTCTTCATGCTGGTGTTTTCCCGCACAGGCGCACCGTCCCAGCTGTGTGTGTGTGTGTGTGTGTGTGTGTGTGTGTGTGTGCGAGATCACGGGTTTGGGGCTGGAGAGGGGTTTGCTGGAGGACCCTTGTCAGCACTAATGTGGGTCACAGCCGACAGACAGAGCGATCAGAGTCTGGATCAGATTCCTAGAGCCTCAGGGGGCCCAGACCTTCCCAGAGTCTTAATTCTTCATTATTCTTCCACAATTATTTAAATATTTATAAACCCCCAAATTTGGGGTTGGTAATTATTTTTTTTGTGTGTGTGTGTTTCTGAAAGAAGCCTTTTCTGCTCACCAAAGCTGCAATTATTTCATTAAAAATACAATAAAAACAGTAATATTGTGAAATATTATTACAATTTAAATTTACTGTTTTGTACTGTAATATATTTTAAAATGTAATTTATTCCTCTGATCAAAGCTGCATTTTTTAGCATCAATACTCCAGTCTTCCGTGTCACATGATCCTTCAGAAATCATTCTAATTTGCTGCTCCAGAAGCATCTAGACACATTCTCTCACAGACATATGCATTCTTTGGAAGTAAATGTAGCTATGTTGGCTATAGAGTTCCAGCTTTTGTGGAAGTGCTTGAGGAGGATTTGTTAGGTGTGCTACCTTCAAGTATTTGTATATTAAGAGAGCTGCTGACAGAGGGAGGCTGAACAGAGCTGCTATTGTCCTGCAGACTCATGGCCGCTATCATAACTGTCATGAACGCTTCTCTGAGAGATGTGATATCTCTGAGACCCTCACGCTAACCTCACGTGAGGCCTGCTGACCATTAAAGACATAACAATGTGCCGTCATTTACTCGACCTCGTGTAACTTTTGAAACTCATATGAAAGATAGTCATAAGTGTTTGGAAGAACATGAGAGTGAGCGTAGAATTTAGTAGGGACGCTAGGGACGTGTCCCTACTAATATCCAGCAACTACTAAATTGTCCCTATAGCAATCATTTTGATCAAACAATTAAATATATGTACATGTAACCACTGTTGTTGTAATTTCTGCCACATCTGAAATAGGTCATACTATTGATATTACCTGAGAAGTAACAAATACGCTAGAAAACCGCACACTTTCAAAAACATACATGTGCGGAATAAGAACATAAAAGGAAATGTTTAAAACATACAGTATGTGCACAGTTCCACTGAATGATAAAGTTTACCCTCTTTAACTTTATGTTGTTAAACTGAATGTACAAAGCAAACTGTTAGCTGAAATATCCACAAAAAAGGTTGTGTCCCTACAATGTCAAAATCAAACCTTCATCCTATAGCTGTTTTGTGTTCATCTGCTTCTTCCATTTGCTCTTTTTACATTGACTAGCACTCTATATAGACTAATACAACCAGAAAAAAAATCTCATATTTATTACTAGGGTTGCAAAGGGGTGGAACATTTCCGGTAAATTTCCAAAAATCCCTGGAATATTCCAAAAAGTACTGGAAAGTTTCCAAAATTTCTGGAACATTTCCGAAATTTTCTGGAAATGTTCCACCTTTTTGCAACCCTATTTATTACAATATAAACTGATAAATTTAACATTCACTTCAATTGTATGGATGCTCTCAACTGATTTCCTATCGAACTGTCACCAACTGAATTGCAGTGGTCAAACTATTTAGTGAATTAATCTACAAACTCGATTATAATGCACAATGTTTCCATCTAACATGTATTTTGAGGTTTCAATTGTTAGCAGTAAACCGGTTAGCTCACCTGAATATGTTCATAGATTTGTGGGCCATTCCACCGAATAGGTGCCATTTGCTTCCAAAAAAATATATATTTTTCTATATTTTTTTAAAGACTGAATCTAGTAATACACATATTTAAATATTCAAAATATGTATTGGTCCATCTCAGGTAACTTTACTTAATTTTTTTACACAATTTTTAAGTGGAAGATGGGTGCATTTTTCTCAGTCCTGTTACCAAAACTCTGTCTTTTAAAAAGCATGTTTAAAAATATGTCAACAAATTCCTTCATTTTCCCCTCAGGCAGATGTTTTATTTTAAATAAATTGTTGGTTTCATGGTCAAAAAAGATTATTTTTATCATAAAAAAATCACTATTTATCTACACAAGGTGTATTTTTCTAAAGTACACAACCCCATTTTTTCATTTGAAAGGTGATTCAAACCTCAAGCGTATCAATTTTCTATTGATGCAATTTATTAAACAATGGGATAAATTATGGACCAAACTTAATACAAAAAAAATAGTGGTTTAACTTTATTTTTTAAAGAAAAAACTATTTAGTAACAGGAATGAAACAGGGTAACAGGAATGAGTATCCATTATATAAGTATACAGGTTTGACTGCACATGTGAGGTGTTAATGCTCACACTGATATAGTGAAAGTGTTGAACATTGACTAGTGAGCTGACCTCACTGCTAAAAAAGGCCAAATCATGTTTCTATTTAAATCTAGTGGTCTTCAGAGGTCTTTGTTAGGGTTATGTTTAGGGGTAGAGGACGGGTTATGAGATAAGATATAAATAACAAAAAATAATAAATATTCAATATTAAATTTAAATTGCTATTAAAAATAATAAACGTAACAAATAATATGTTTTCAGTTTTTCGGTGGATATTGTTTTCTTATAGAACAGCTCACACTCAAACGCTATTCCATATATGAGCCTAATACATAATTGCCACAGGACAGACATTTCAAGTACATTTTCTGTCATACTTGCAGGAATGTAATATAAAACAACAATGCAGGAACAACCGTAGGTTTTCTCTGGGCAAAAGCATTGTCTCAGTGTGGATAGAAGGCCAAAACGTTGAGAAAAAGATGCATTTTCATCTAGATTAATATGGATGTAGCGTAATATTTACATTAATAAATCTGATGACACTACTCACTCCTGTTACTTTTACCCAGTTACTATATATAAATATAGGATAAATGAGTACATGAGTAACAGGACTGAAAGTAACAGGATTGAGATTTTAGGATAAAATTAGCAAATACATATAATCTAGCCACATGGAGTACATGCTAATATTATGAGAATACTCAGCAAAGTATAGTGATTCAACAAAGATTTGTATTTTTTAAATAAACAAGTAACATCTAAGAAATAATTTAGGTAACAGGACAGTATATTTATAATGACGCTCCCAGCCACCATTACAATATCATCAAATATACAGAAAAGAAAATAAGACCACATGCTTTCAGTCATTTCATTGCCTACAGAAGATCCAGATGTTGCAACATTATGTTGAAAATGTGTCTTGTGGAATTTTTCCAGTTTTTTAGAGGGGGGAATGTGTTAGGGTAACAGGACTGAGTGAAAACCTGGGGACATGACTAAAATGTGTATTTTATCCAAAATATTATAAATTTATTTTGAAATAAATATTTAAAGCACAGATGGGATGTGTAGGTACACAAAAATGCAAAATAAAAATTATTTCTGAAGTATTTTAAGTATTATATTTCATGTTAAAATGCAGCATTAAGCACTAGGGACATCTACAAATGCAATATTTTCAGTGTTTTAGGTAGTTTTTAATATTTTTTAAAATGATATATTTAAAATTTGCAGTTAGATTAATGTGCAGGACAATTTGCTTAATAATAAAATGTATTTTATAGTTAATTTTTATGTATGTTTGTACCTATAATGTCCTGGGGAAAGAAATGGCACCCATTCAGTGGAATGGCCTGGATATTATATTTGTAAACATCATAATTTTTTCACTTATTTCTATGGATACCACTTTTTCCAGTACTCGCCCGATACCGATACTTTTATTTTTGGTACTTGCCGATACCGAGTACCGATACCGATATTTTTATTGCATTTGTACATTTTTTTAATATTGGGTACAGAAACCAAAAGAGTATG